CATCAGCAATGTCAGCTGCCAAGCTGAGAGCGGCTGTAATGCTATCAAAGGGCAGCAGTGTCGTCAGTGTAAGCCTGTCCCTTCCTCCTCTGTCATCACTGTACACCGAGAGCAAAGAGCAGCCGTTCTGCACAGAACAATAACTGCAATCTGTGTGCCAAATGATGCAAGATATCAGCAACACTAGTGCAAAGCCAGGCGTTTGGGCATAGCAGGATGTAAAAGACTGGCATGCATAGCCAGCCACTGGGAAAATCTACACAGCAGATGTAAAGTATAGGGCTCCAGTGAAAAGAAGCTTTCATAAATTGCATATGAAAAATCTCAACCTCTGAAAGATCATCCACTCGAAGTGTTTACCCTTTGCAGGGTATCACAACAGGGAGGGAGGGAGGGAGGAAGGACAGAAGGAAGGAAGGAAGGAAGAGCTTGGGTACATGGGCCAGTTTAATTTCCCAAAGCTCCAGCTCATCACAGCTCAATTATGTTGCTTTGTCTCTCTGCTTGCGAGAGGGATAAAAGCAAGTCTGACATGTAAGAAAATTTATTGTATAAACTGCATAGAGATGGCTCCTCTTCAGCACTTTTGAAGGAAAAAAAATACAATATACAAGATGGCAAGCCAACAGCCAACCAACCAGGCAAACCAAACCAAAGCAATCCACTCCAGCATATGGAAATAAACTATAAAATAATCAAAAAACATTACTTTGCTTTAGGAAAAGTCATTATGAAATAGTGACATGACATTGCCCTGAACACAACAAATGCTTTTGGCTGGCCTAAACAATTAAGGTCATTCCAGCTTCTTTCACCTGGAAAATTCAGTGCAAAATTCTCCTTTATGCCCTTTCTGTCTTGCACCTCTTCTTCAGAGGTCCCGGCAGGAAAGAACTGGGGCAGAGGGGAGGGAGGCAGGTGCCAATTGCCACGGGGAGCACAGATTAATACCCTCTTTACCGGTGAACTGCATCGGTTATTGCCCAGCAGATGTGGGAGCTTTGCTCAAGCACAGACTTTGCATTCCCCGTTAAAACACACGCATTCACGAGCTTAGCTAAGCATCAGAAAAAGCAGTAAGGCCAAGAAACCTGTGACAGACATGTTTAAACATCAGTGATTTATTCATGTTAAACACGATGAGCTGTGACATTAGTTGTGTGTTTTTAAAATACATTTTGCCTGAAGAATAGTATTGCCTACCTATGGTAACTCACAATACGTTCTGCTTACATCTGGGAAGTCCTCATTTTGTCTACAGCCAGGATTCCTACAACCACCCAGCATTTCTTGTCAACCTAGAAGCCAGTACCTGCTGCCGTTCCACAGAAGTCAGCGTAGGCGTGACACCAACTGTTCGGGTTGCATCCATGCTGGTTTTGGTCAGTGCTAGAGGTTGATCCATGGTCAAGCTTGGGATTGAGGCATACATGTGATTGGCATGAAGGCTCATTGTTGGGGCAGCAGCCCTCTCTATTGGGCTGCGACTCCTCTCTCTGTGCTCTTTCCGGTAATCTCCATTAGCAGTCTTGTTTCTAATACAAGAAAGAGAGAAAAAAGTCAAAGGACTTCTTATAGCTTTTAACAATAGTGAGATATGCAACATTAAATCCCTTTAAGAAAGATGAGGCAATGCATTCTGCTTGGCTGTGAGGAGGGGTATAGAATCCCTTGGTGAGGCACCCCTGGTCTATCCAGCCCTGCAATGAAAAGCCAATGATTTACATTTGCAAGCTCTGGCAACCAACAGTTTTTTCCAGCCTAGAATTTCTTCAGATACATATCTAAATGCACCGAGTTAAAGTAACAACTGGTCATGTTTTGTTAAGGTCAGACACCTCCCTCACTTAACATACTATTAATCCCACTCTGTCTCCTAACCCTTCAATACTCTCTAAGCATTGCTGAAGCCGAAGAAAGTTCATTTTACTCAGAAGACGTGGGTTGATACCAGCAAAATGCAGTGAGTCAAGGCAGGAAGCAAGATTTTCAGAGCAGAAAATGAAGGAAAAGCAAACTACACTGCACTTATCTCAGAATCATTTAATTACAACTGTTCTTTAAAAGAGGAATTTCAAACTGCTAGGGAACAGTAAATCTCAGCAGATGTACTCACATAATTAGCCTATCATTCACTGCAATTAACATAGTACCAATTTTGTACTTCAGTTTCCATACAGCAGTAGAATTGTCATTAAAGGTAGGTACTTCATTCACACTGGTGAAGGCAGTTGCTTATAACCACTTATCTAGGTAAGTGTGGGTACAACTAGTAGTCTGGAACAGACCAGTATTACCAGAGTTAACACATTGCAATACCTCGTGCCTCAGTGTGACATAGCAAGCTCAGCCTTTCACATAAGAAACAGCTGAGGAAAAGCTGGTTCTATGGAAAATACATTGTCTTCAGAGTACTCTTGAAGTAACTGTGAAGTGTCCTATATGTCCTGTGTGTGAGTGGGTAAAATCCATTTATGAGGGGGTTTCCCCCACTTTCTAAGCATATCATAGCAAACTGACATGCAGGAGCAGTCTTTAAAAATGCTCTGATGAATATCAGGCAGAGACAGAAAAGGAGTAAGGTTTTCTCTAATACTAGAAATTAAGATGTACAAATAGTATTCAGTATTGATGTAGGTTAGAACTCCAAGAAGCTACTGCCTTTTTCAACATCAGAGAAAGTCTCTCAAAATGGAATGCTAACAGCTGAGGGAAAAAAACCCAAACCTGCCAACAGAGGAAAATAAGGAACCCCAAAGCTTATCAACAAAAATGCTATAGAAAAACCTTGCAGGTTTATACAAATGAAATAATGACTTAGATTTACCTAAAGGCTACTTGTTGTTTTATGTTAGTTACAAACAGACAATATTACTCTGTCTTAAAGTTTTCTCCGTACCGTCTAAAATCAAAACAGCACTGGTGTTCACGTTCATCCTCCAACACCACACCACTCCCACCGTTCACATGCATACATGTGCATCACTTCAGCACGGCTTTTGAGACCATGTAAACTTTTAGCCTCCTCAGCACCCTGTGGCAATGGATTCCATTGTTTAAACAACATGCTTTGTTAAGTACCTTTCCATCACAGGCTCTTTTTTGGGTTTTTTTAGCCTAAAATCTAATGGCTTGGGCTGCTATTGCCCTAGTTCTTGTATGAGGAGAGAGAGAAAGCCATCACTCCCTGCTTATCACCTTCAATGCCTCTGATGAGTTCATCTCTCTGTTCAGCAACCTTTTTTCTCCAGGGTACTACTTTCTTGAAATAAAAACTTTTCCCACACTTTTGTCATCCTTGTGGCCTCTCATGTAAGAGCTAGAAAAGCTGTAACCTTTTGTGAGTTGAGGGTGCAGCTCTCTGCTGCATTCAGGAACAGGACCTTGGCTGAACTCATCACAAGTCTTCAGCACTATTCTTCAGCCTACTCGAGAGCCACTCGGCTGCTTAAGTCATCTGCTATGGCTGCCTGAATCAAAACTCAACTCATTTATCATGCTACAAGCTAGGGTTAATGTGGTACCAGGCAATCAGTGACTTGAGAACCTCAGGACACAGCTTATTCTCTACGCCAAATTCCCCTGACATGCTTAGGAGGGAACAGCCAACAGAATAACAATACAATTTGAAACCATTCCGATCCCTCCCGCTCTGCACTCCCCCCCTCCCCGCCCCGCCCCGCCTATCACTTGCCCCTTTTAACCAATTACAAATTAGTAGTTGCAGATTAGCAGAATCGACCATAAAATCTAACCTTTAAGATTTCACAGCTGGTGCTCAAGATGTTCTCTGAAAATCATGTGTTTCTTGAATCCCTTCTTTATAGGCCAGATTAGACACAGTAAAGCAGCGCACAAACTGCCAGGAAACACATTTTCACAGTGCTACATTTCAATCTTTTGCCAGCTTTGGTAGCATTTCAATCCACAAGACTACTCTCCAGTATCAGCATTCAGAAGAAAGAAGTTTAGAATTGCATTGCTCTGAGCTAATGACTGGTGCAAATGTGTGACTTAATGGCAGCACAACAGACTCTAGTACAGTAGCCTCATCTTGAATTACAGTACCGACACAGCTACTGAACACGACAAACTAATCCTTCACCACCCCCTTAGGAAGCAAATATGGAACTTCATAAATAGTACGCTGTTGCAGGCTGCTTTTGTACCTGGACAACAGCCATTAGATACCCTGGGAAATAATGCTTGAAAAGCCATTGCTAAATTCATTGTTCAAGTGAGAAAGGCAACACTGTGTAGAGCCGGCTCATTCTTCTTGCTGCAGTGCATTATCTTTGGTGGCTAAAAGCCAAACTCTTACCTTTCACCTAAATATTATCTGGTCTACTACCATTTAAATAACCACCTGGAGGCTGCAAAGCCACATACAACTCCAGTGGATTCCTACTTTCCACTGCTTCAAAAAATAATCCCTGTTCAGGATGATTATATTTTGTTTTCATAAACACAAGCTGATTTTCAAAGGAAAAACTTTGTTTCTTCCACCAAATATACTGGTAAAATGAAACAACAAATGTAGCCACACCACTTGTTTGGGGTGGAGGGATCTCAAGTGACCAGTTATAAGCAAACCTCCTGAAATTCCCAAGCAAAAGAAATTTTCCATTTTACACAATAGCACCCATTTCACTCATCCTCACTTTAAACAAAAAGTCATAGCCCTACATATTGGTGAACTGGTAGTTTTCCTGCCAGAAAAAAGAACAGAACTTTTCTGCAAAGATTTTTGGAAGAAGGGACCAAGAAACCGGGAACTGGGATCAGCCTTCTATGATGGCATGACCGGCTGGGTAGATGAGGGGAGAGCGGTGGATGTTGTCTACCTTGACTTCAGCAAAGCTTTTGACACTGTTTCCCATAACACCCTCATAGGGAAGCTCAGGAAGTATGGGTTGGATGAGTGGACAGTGAGGTGGATTGGGAACTGGCTGAATGGCAGGGCTCAGAGGGTTCTGATCAGCGGGGCAGAGTCCAGTTGGATGCCGGTAGCTAGTGGAGTTCCCCAGGGCTCGGTA